CTGGGCCGGCGTCCTCCTCACCATCACTGCTACATTTGAGCCCATTGCTGCATCCGATGTATCCATCTGTCTCCTTGTGGCAACTCCTCTTTTTTCTGATAATCTATTTCCTCAAACATGAAAAGTATGACAAAGTAGATGGTCACCAAAGTGGAAGAGAAAGACCCTCAGTGACATGGATTGGCACAGTGGCTGCAAAGAGGCCCAAGCATAGTGACAATGGTGAGGATGGTGTAAGTCTTGACAGTGTTTCAATTTGTTTTATGGGGTATCGTTCTGGATCACAACTGACGCGGCATATCCTCGAACCAACAACATGACTAGCGGGAACTCTATGGCCTTTAAAAAAGGAAAGGAGCCATACACATTGCCATCAAGCCAACTCTGACACAAAGTGACCCTGTGACCGAGCAGAACCACCCAGAGGGTTTCCACAGCTGTGCCTCTCTGAAAGCAGCCTGTCTCGTCTTCTTCCTGGGGAGCAACCAAGTGTCTGGTGTTTGAAGCCAGCACCTTGTGGTATTTTCTTACAGCAGCACTGACGGACTGAGACGGGGTTTGGAAGAAAGGGATACACTACTGATACATTCCATAACATAGGTGGACCTCCAAAACATAATGCCAAGGGAAAGGTGTCAGGTGACGCCACAGATGGCATATTATAAGATTCCATGGGTGTGCAGTGTCCAGAAAAGATGAAGTCTAAAGACAGCCAGTAGAAGATCAGGGTGAGAGGTTGGGGCAGGGACTGTAGACTGCAAACAGGCAGATAAGAAGAGACGGAGCTCACAAAAAATGCTCTCAACCAAGACTGTAGTGATGATTGCACGGTGAAACTAAAACAGACAAATCTGATGGTATGTGAATCCTCTCGCAAAATACATGAGTAAGATGGAATATTGAGCATCTAAGGGTTAAAAATAGTATCAATGATTCAGTTTATTTGATCTTCAGTCTGATTTTGAAGATCACACACATTGATGATGATGATTTTTTTCTCTGCATATGCCAGAGAGGCTGAAAGCTCTGGGTGTGCATGGCAGCCAGATCTTGCCAAAAGTCACAGACATGAGACTGGGGCGTCCAAGGGATACAACTGCCGACCATCTATCCAGACATGAATCTTCAGAGATTTCAAGTTTGAATTCAAGGTCCTGAACTGAGGCCATCAATGTCCTTCTGAATTCATTAATTTACATAGTTTGGATATTTGTGGCCTTTGGTTCAGGAAAACTTGATTCAAAGTCATTCCAAGAAGTTGACACCCTTTGTGTTCTTCTAGCACAATGAGCTCAACACTGAGCTCAAACAATTGTAAGGATGGCCCAGGCCCAGGCAGTGTTTCCTTGTGTCGTACATGAGGGTACTAGGGTTCGAAACAGACCTGGCAGCAACAGCAATGCTCTTCAGAAAACGTACAGCATCCTTGCTTTTAATTCTGTACTTTGCCTTTTCCTTTGGCGCATTAGAACTGCAAAAGTACAAAAGCCTCTTAAATAGGCAATAACTCGAGGGTCAGGGAACTGACCCACTCTGGCTCCATTCCCACCCTGGTGGCCATGGTAATGCGGCTTTGGTTTAATGTCAGAGATCAGACCTTCTCCTCCATTTCACACCCCACATACCACCAAGGTTCCTTATGGATACAAATCACAATGTAAGGCATTGTTTCCAGTGCTTCGCCATCCTATGGCCTTATGATCCCCTGTGAAATCTACATGGGGAATGAAAACGCCCCGTGGGGAGGACATCAAGAGGCCACGTGCAGTGAATTCTGGAGCTGGATAAGAGAAGTCAAACTGGTCTTACATCGTGTGCTGGGCAGCAGTAGCTAATCATTGTCTATGGGATAAGAATGTTCATCCCAAAGGAGCGGTTTAAACTGCTGCTTATTCACAGAGAGCACACACTTGACTTACGTGTTTTTTCCACGATGCTCACACCGGGTCCCTCAAGCTCCTGCAGTTTTGTATAAACGCTGATTTTATATTCTGAATCTGGCTGAAGTTGATAGAAGCAATACCTGGTTGTCCCTCCACTCACAGTGGATTCTTGCTTTTGTGTATCTGTAATAAAAAACAAATCCAAATCCAAACATAACGCACGTGAAATTTAACAACAGTCATCCGTAGAGTAGCTTCTAAAATGCTTCCCGTGCCTCACCCAGGTCATGTACCTCCAGAACAAATTATTCCTGTTCTTAAAGAGGTGATAGTTCCAATAGTGACGTTTCCAAAAGACTTAAAAAACACATTTTAAATATACAATTAAAAAATGTACTATGAAAAGACTCCAGAAACCCACCCTTTGCTGAGTGGGGAACAACATGTGTATATAATTATATGTTTACATCTTAAGTGAACTGTGGGACAAGTGTGGGCCTCAGTATGTTACTTTTTGAAAAGAAGAACTGCCCTTTATTTAATATGCATCTCCAGAGCACAGCCAATTTGACATTAAAGGCTGCATTCATTTGGCCTTGCACAACTTTCTACCTTCCGAAAGGAGGTTCAGGGAGACACCCTTCAAAGCAGTAGTCTAAAGATATAAGTGTGCAGTCATACATTGCACTGCTGAGGGAGGGAAAAAAGAGGAGTTGACACCAAAGAGCTCAAGTAGAAAGACAATGTTTTGAAAATGATGATGCCAACATATGTACAAGGTCACTTGACACAGTTGATTTATGGAGTGTTATCATATCTGTAAGAGCCCCCAATAAAATTACTTTTTCAACAGTCATTATGGGCATTCTTTGTGCTTTGTGAACTATGAGGTGGGCCTTCAAGGGTCCCTGAAGCTTCATCCCTGGATGTAGGCTGTTTTAAAACTAAGAAAAATGCAGCCTTGGGGAATCTAGAAAGTCCCCACCCTGCCTAATCCCTCCCTCTGCGCCTTTATTTTCCATTGACACTCAGGACAGCTTTCAATTACGAAGGAGATTCCTCGGCAGCCCAAGGGACCCACTTCCTGGCCTCACTGAGGAGGTACTTTCCTATAGATAAATATTAAAATAAATATCAATGTAAATAGATACCATAATTGTTGACAAGGCTAAGAGGGGAACATCTTGCTTTCAGCAGTCATCATTTCTTTAATGTGAATTTTGAAAAGGGAAACACAGAGACCCCTAGGTTTACAAAGTAAATTCACATGTGCCTTTCATTTTAAGTAGAGATGTTTTAGGGCTCTCCTAGGCCTTTGGTCCCGATGGGGAAACAGGACCTGGTGCTCAGAGACTTGGGGACGGCCATCTATGCTGTAGAGCACAATCGCCAGCCTCCTACTTCCGGAGTTCTTTTTGTTCCCCCAACGAGCTTTGGCACAAGCAGCTTATTCCCAGTCATGCCTCCTCTGTCTTTTCTCTACAACGGCCTAAGACTCAGCGCACTTGGGAGACCTGTTGACTTTCTTCATTCTCACCTCCACAGCCACACTGCTGTGGGTTCATGTACTCATGAGTCCCGGAAGATTTCCTACATGCCAGGACCTATGTTTGGGAGTTAATGCTAAAAACAACCACTGTCAACATTAAGTAAGCATTTATCAATCAATGAATCAATCAATCAGCATTTATCTAGCCCAGGCACTCTTCTGAGGATTTTACATGATCACCCCAATACTTACAATCATCTTCCACCTAAATACAAAAAACTGAGAACCAGGAAAGTTGGTGATTTACTCATGCATTAAACAGTAGAATTGAGATGTAAATTGAGAACTCAGAAGATATTGCTTTAATTTCCATTAAAATATCGCAAAAGAAGTAAATAAAATATAGTCTTTAAACGCATATCTATATAAAATATGTTACACCGTTTTATTAATAAAATGCATATGTTAATATGACTCCATTATATTATGGAATATTAATATGGATATATTAATAGTCGAAATCGCTTGAGAACTACTGAAAACTAAAAACCAAACCCACTGCCACTGAATAGATTCCAACTTATATATGGTTTCGGAGACCATAAGTATTCATGGTGGGAAACAGCCTCATCTTTCTCCCATGGGGTGGCTGGTGGTTTGAACTGCTGACTTCGCAGCTAATAGCCCAGAGCTCGCCTGATAGCTGCATCAGGGTTCCTAGAGCTGCTGTGCACCTAGGAAATCAGCAGACAAGATGACTAGCGGGGATGGAATGGGGATTCCTATCTCATCACTGCATCGGACACACCTGCCTACTTTGTGACCAATCTCCATGGGCTGTTTCATGAGCATGTTATTGTGGCTGTTAGGTGCCATGGAGTCTGTGAGTCCCGATTATTAGTCACCCAACAACAATTGCAGTGTTGTGGCCACCGTGCCGATCCAGCTTGGTGAGGGTCTGCCTCTTTGGTGTTGCTGCTCTACTTTACAAAGCATCTGGCCTTTTCCAGGCACTGGTCCCTGACCATCTGTGCTTCTGAAGAACATTCTGGTTGTACTTCCTCCTAGACCAGTGGTTCGCAACTGTCCTAATGCTGCAACCCTTGCATACAGTCCCTCATGTTTGGTGACCCCCCAACCAGAAAATTATTTTTGTTGCTACTTCAGAACTGTCATTTTGCTACCGTTAGGAATCTGGTGACCCCTGTAAAAGGGTTGTTCAACCCCCAAAGGGGTCGCAACCCACAGGACGAGAACCTAGACTGACCTGCTTGTTCTTTTGGCAGTCCAAAATATTGATACTTTCAACATTTTCATTTCAACCACTATCTCGTGAGAAATCAGCTGAAAGCTAGAATCACAGCTGCCATGGGAAGGGAAATCATGTGCATTTGTCTCTCCACCGAGCGTCCTTTGATCAATGAGCTCCCCATGAGTCAAAGTCAGCCTGATGGCAACAATCAGTCTGGGTCATTGGAAGCTACCTCTGGAAAGTTACCAGGGATTGCCCAGAAATCAATTCTAGAAACGTTTTCTTCCCTATCATTTCCTCTATATTTCATGGATACTCTTGAGGTAGCTTATAAAAGGATTTTACTGCTAAAACAAATCTACAAAAACCATCGGAAACCTGGATCAGGCACAGTAAAATTAATGGGAAACAGTACCGAGCTTACATGAATGGAGTGCTTCCATGTTGTTTTTGGCATGTCTCATTCAAGTCTAAAGGCTTGGCCTTAAAGAAAAACATGTAAACTGATCAAATGGTGGCTGATTTCCTCAACCCCTGGTGCCAAAAGGAGCAAATTACCATAATATCTTACTTAGGAGTCGAGGTAGGAGAATTCTGTGTTTGTGCATTCCTTCATAGGAAGCAAGGTAAAAGTTTTCTCTGGGTTACCATGATGATGATGACGACAACAACAACAACAACAACAACCACTAAAAATAAACCCAAACTCACAGCTGTTGAGTCTATTTCAACTCAGAGTAACCCTGCAGGACAGCGTAGAGCTGCCCCATAGAATTGCCAAGACTGCACATGTCCCTTAGTGGTTGCACAGTGCAGAGAGTATCATCAATGGCATTGAGTCACACCTGTTGAAGCTGTTGAAGTGGAGGATGTTTTGTTGTGTGATTTTTGGCTACTATTAAAAAAATAATTACATGAATAATAGTGAGTACAAGGAAGAAAAACATGTTCTAAAATGGATTGTGATAATGATTGTACAACTCTTCTTGATATTACTGAACTACTGAATTGTACGATGTGTTGGTGAAGTGCCAATAAAAAAGACAAATAAACTACTGAAACATATACATCATGACTATGTAAGGTAACGTGAATTCTTTTTAAAAGACAGTACATCTTAACAAAAGTAGACACATCTTTATGGAAATACATCTTTCTCCTAGGAAGCCGCTGGTGGGTCAACCTTTTGGTTATCAGCCAAGTGCCTCACCACTGTACAACCAGGGATCAAAGAGAAGGATGGCACCTCTGTTCCACGAATACTAACTCAGATCCACAAAGAATACTCAGGATCAAGGAAACCACTCTGCTGAAGTTTTTGCTAAAAATGAAATACTTCCACTCCCCAGGTCTCTCAAATACCTTAATCCTCAGCCATAATACCATTGCTTCATCAATTTGTAGCCTGAGAATAAGTATCACTCTACATGACCTCTTTACTGGATTCTCATCTCCACTAAGATAGGTCTTTCCCCCAATGCAGAAGTTCTCTGCCCTACTAAGTGGATACTCTGGCAGATAGGCACATCAACACCTACAGATGGAGGAAAATGTGGTGTATAATTTGAATCCTTTTCTAGGACGTTACAAAGAAGTTCTCCAGCTAAAGGAGAAGAAGACAGCACTTGAGTTTATTTGGCACGTAACCACCTGAACTTGAGGGAAAATTCTATACCCAAGTCCAGTGCCAAGTCAACTCAAAAACAGCTGGAAAGGACCGAACCTTCGAGCTTCCCCAGAATGAATGGAGACTCTCATGGGGCTCTGAGTTCCTCGGGGCCAACTGAAAGTCTGTCCCTTTGGTTTGTCCTGGAATTAACCAGGAGCCTACCATTAATTTGGCAACTGGATGGCTGACTCCAAAGCAGATTTTATTACAGTCTCTCCTGAAAGGACCTTATCCTTCTGGTGATTTTCTTCTTCTTCTTCTTCTTTCTTGGCTATGAAACAGTCGTATATTTACATAGGTAGAGTTTCCGATCCATTCCTGCCCACTCTTGGTCTTTAAGATTCGGGGAGACCTGAATAGTCCCATCAACACCCGACACCAGGGTGGGAAGTAACCACGTCTGGACACTCACTTTCTCTCAGGTACTTGGCCTCAACAACAGGCCTGTGATCCAAACTAACCTGATATGACTCAGTACTTAGACTTTTATTGCAGCTATTAAGAAAGAGAAGCTCTCTGTTCACTAAGACTGCTCTTCTAAGATGATATCATTCTGAGCCAATTTATAGAGCCTGCTGAAGAATGACGGCAGAGAAAGCAGAGCAGAGGGCTGGAGTAAAACCTAATCTTAGTGAAAGTGTTTGAGCACCTAGACCCGGAGATTCATGAAGCCAGACACTCTCAGACTTCTCACCAGACTCCCCAATAAATTAACCCTCTTGCTTGTCACTTTCCTCTGGGTTTATGTCGTTAGAAAACAAGCTGGAATAATATAACCTGGCTCGTTTCATAACAAACACTTTGAAAATCTGTATGCATTTGCCACAGTTACTAGCCACAAAAGAAGTAATTTTAGAGAAACTAATGCCCACAGAAGGCTGATCAATAGCTATGGTGACAGCATGGACTTCTTCTCAAAATACCTCCTTCACCTCAAAGTGTACATGGCCAGACTCCCACAGGGAATATATTAAAATCTTGGGGGGATTATCTAGCAAAGAGTAGGAATTTGGCACAGGCACCCATGAATGGATCACTTTGGAACATAACTTTTTTTATTTATAAATCATTTTGTTGGGGGGCTCTTACAACTCATAACAATTCATACATCAATTGTATCAAGCACATGTGTACATATGTTGTCATCATTTTCAAAACATTTTCTTTCTACTTGAGCTCTTGATATCAGCTCCTTTTTCCCCCCACCCTCCCACTCTTCTGGGGACATAAATTTCTTCCAACACAAATAAGAATCAAGTCCCATTTCTCTCTAGGGTCACCTTTGATTACAGTGGAAAGATGGACATCTCTGCAGAGGCAACATGCAACTAATGGGAGATATTACAGAGACAAAACAGCTGGGGTTCTGGGACTCATTTGCCCATGGAAGAATAATCATCCAACCACAAACGCTTCCAAGGCCCTGAATCCTGCAGGAAGGTAACCACACTTCTCTGTCCAATAAAGAGACTCATCCTCACTCTTGGGCAAAGTAAAAGACTATTTCTTGATCCAAGCTCTACAAGTTAAAAATAAATAAAAATATAAACAACTGCCTATTCTCCACGGCCCCTCCCATCCTTCCTGTTCCAAATCCTCTTTTTCTATGGTTGTGAGTCAGAAGTTGCTCTTGAATTTGGAGCCCTCGTGGCACTGTTGGTGAAGCAATGGACTGTCACCCATCAGTCAGGATCAACTCGATACCAGTGAGTTTAGTGTTTAGTTCTCTATCTGATTGATGATATTAAGTAAGACAATTGGATGTACGAGATGATGGTGAAATGAACGCAAGAGCCTCTCGGTGATGAGAAATAAATTACACAGCACTTCTGCTGACTCTATTTAAGTGACTCAGTCAAAGAGGCTTCTGGAACCCTGAATAGACAACTGAAGAGGGCCAGGCTAACTTAACGTGGAGATATGAAGAAGGTGGGGATGCTCATTTCTGCCAGCTTTCAATATGCAGATGACATAACCTGGCTTGCTGACTGGGGTGGGGGTGGGGAGGGGGGAGGGGGAAGGGACTTACCGTATATACTCGAGTACAAGCCTACTCAAATATCAGCCGAGGCACCCAATTGTACCACAAAAACTGCATGAACAATGTGCTGAAAAACTCGGCTTATACACAAGTATATACGCTATACTAATTTTTCGTTTTCTTTTTTAAACAAAAGTCACTAAATGCCAACCCTTCTAAATAAATTGTGATACAGCTAGTTGTAGAAAGATAAATCAAATATAACAAGAATGTATAGTTTTTTCTTGAATAGCTGCCTATCATTCAACTCCTTCTACTTAAGTAACCCCTAAGTCATGTTTATACAACCACTAAATCCGTGGGACTTGTCCTGACTTTCTCTTCCGTAGGGTTTATTCTGATTAAAGCTACTCCCAGATGTTTAGCCTACATCATTCTGAAAGGATTCTCTCCTCACACGCAGGGGTTTAAGCAAATAGTGGCTTAGCATCTCTATCCACACAAGGTCTTGGCTCAAGTTAGCAGGGATTTCTTCGACCCCTCCTCAGCTCGTATTAAAAAGGGCGCATATTTGCAATTGCTTTCTACTTTTAGGGATTGAAGCCAAAGCAGTATTTCGGGGTTTTGAATGTGGTTATCATGGGGGATATTGCCGCTGTTGACAGGTGCCATCAAGTCTTCTCTGATTTCTTGGATGCAAATGCTTTCCCCAGTTTCTCCAAGCTCCATCCACCCAGAATCCTACAAGACCTGTGCTATTAACAGTTGGGGAAATGGCTATTTGGAGAAGTTAAGTAATTTGTTTAGCCAGCCAGTCTGACTCCATATTCAGTATTATTAACTATCACAATAGCATGCCTCCAAAATTAGAAGGTTCTAATCTAACATGACTCACGGACTCCTTGCAGTGATGACTATAAGACTTCGATGTACACAAGTTTGGGAGCCTTGGTGACTTCTTGGTAGAATTCTCGCTTTCCACACAGGGAACTTTAGTTAGATTCCCCACCAATGCACTTCATGTGCAACAAACACCTGCTCCTAGTTGAAGGTCGGTGTGTTGCTGTGACCCTGAACAGATGCCCCAGGAACTTCCAGACTAAGACAAACTAGAAAGAATGGCCTGATGTTCTACTTCCAAATGCTCAGTCAATGGAAGCTCTGTGGATCCCAGTGGTCCGTCCACCACCAAGCATTCAGATGGGGCAGACCGAGCAGCATTTACTTCCATTATGCAAGGAGTCACTATGAGTTGGGAGGCTGTCTCGGCAGAAGCCAACAACCACCACAAAAATTACAAAGAAATGATTTGCCAATTATTTGACACACACACACACACACACCCCCAAAAAAATCAGTGATGGAGCGTGCTTACCTTGAAGGGATTCTAAAACTACCCTGTAGGCTGTGGCGTGTCGGTGCAATTGCCAATGGGCACACATGCTGGTCATTTCAATCTGGCCAGCTTGGAGATTGGTCACGTCCAGGGACACTACAGCGAAACAGAAACACAACCCTTAAACACAATACACACTGCTACAAATATCTGCAAGTATGAAATGAACTTAAGCATTAAAAAAAACAAAACCAATCCTGTTCAACGCACCCTACTCTAAGTAGAGTCTAAAGCACGACACCCATCAACTCCCAAGAAATTGCTGTACAGAATGATGACCAAAGAGAGCAGGCTGCCAAAGTGTACATGGAGCGTAGCGCCACAGCACAAAGGTCAGACGCGGTGGCTGGTGAACTGATGGGTGACTTCCACCTTCCTTCATTATTTATTAGTGTCTGCTGAATATTCCACAACATTATTTCATTTTACCAGGAAAAATTAATCGATTATGCAATTAGCCACCCCTGAACAAAGAAGTAATTGCATGGGCTTACGCAAGAGGACTGAATATAGCCCCAACAGAAACACCAGGAGTAGCTTCAAAAGAATTGATCTTTAAAACACGACTGAACGAGAAAGAACAAATAATGAGAACATCTAGAAATAACAAGGTCTACTCAGGTAATAAAAAAATATATAAAGGCCTATGCAAATGTTCTTAGTAAGTAATCTTAAGACAGTGTGAGATGCAAAAATGATAACAAAAAAGAAAATATTTGGGGGGGGAGTTATAAAAGTACTGCCTCTCCAAGACAGTAAAGAGTGTCTCGTTTGTCTCCACTGAGAAGGTGATAATATTTACTTTCCCTGATGGCCGATCACAACTTCCATCCATTCCATTTTTCCTTATTTCTCATTCAGCAACACCACAAAAACCCTGCTTAACATTATTTTAAGGTGGTTATAATAATATAGTCAACTCCTTTGATTTAGGCTATTCATTTCTATTATATAAAAAAGGGAAAAACTTATTTTATTAAGGCCAATCAAACAACTCCTGCTCAGGGCCCTACACCCCATAAAAGGAGAAATCAGTCATGATTCTTCTAACTACACTAAATAAAATGTGCTTTCATTTCATTTATTTGCAGTGGTGTCCGTTTTCAGTTTGCTTGAGCGCGTTTCAAAAACAGCCTCATCGAAAGTGTGCTTGAAAGATAAAAATATGAAACAATACAGCAAGCTCCATCTTTTCTAATATGTTTGCAAGGCTCGACATGGTTACTAAAGGAGAGAGGAGAGATGGTTGCAGAGAAAAGAGGACAGAAAGAAGAGACAACAATGAGTGGGTGACAAGAAGCCGATAGAGAATGCGGGAGAAAGAGAAGGGGGCACACAGAAAGGGGAACCTAGAGAGGAGAATAAAGATGAACTGCAGGCAGAGAGAAGGGATGGGGGGTGGGAGGAAGTACGCAGAGGGTCTTCATTGGTATTCGCCAAGGAAGGATTGGCCACTTGAAGGTTACAGTCATGCCAGGAAGTCTATCACTTCAACAGACACTGATCTGTTGAACAAGATCAAAGCCACTGGACCAGAAGCTTTGCAGATGTGTTGAAGACAAACTTTTAGATTAAATGCATTCAGGGTCTACACTGCAAAGTATTCCATGAAAGGGATCTTTCAAGAAGCTTCCTGAAGGGCTGATGCTATGTGAAATCTGGGATCATGGTCTGTCTGAGTTAATATTTGTTTTAGCGCTTGCCTGAAACTATTGATCGTGGGAATGATCAGATGAGGGAGGAGACTGAAATAGAAAGTGCAGAAAACAGTTACTCCAATAATAATATTCCCGGGGTGTTTGTTATCTGCTAGGCAGTTCACAGCCATCTCTCTTTAATTCTCACAACCAGGCCGTACACTAGGTGTCCTTCTCTGCGTTTAAGAGTTGGGTCCTAAATCTCAGCTCCAACTTAAGAACAATTCGTTCTTACATCATGGCCCTACTCGATTCTTGTGCTCAGGAAGGGAAAACAGAAGATACGAGTGCGATAGCAAAATGTGGCAAAGAAATTAGACGGTGCCCAGCTCTCAGATAAAATAGTGTCTCAGGTCTTAAAGGCTTGTCTCCTAACAAGCAGCCATCTAAGTGAGATGTCAACTAAGTCCACATGGAAGAAGCACACCATCATCACTCACTGATGCAAATCATATAATCCGAAGTCCAAGGAAGGATTAGTATCCTAGCCTACATTGTGAGAATCTGGTTTGCAGAAGGCCACGATGACAGTGGGAGCCCGAGATTCATTTGTGGGAACGACATAGGAAATAAGCCTCCAGTGAACTCCCTCTGTCTGAAATCGAGGGATGGGAGGAAAGCAGTAACAGAACAGAGTGCACTGGAGAGATGAGTATAGAAGATCAAAGGCATAACTCAGACTTGAACAGTTAAAACTTTGTCAATTAATCCCCCTCGGATGCATGCTGGACCTGATCTGGTTTTCAGCTTTTCTGTATTTGTGTTTTACTTTGTTTTTGTTTGTTCATATTAAGGTGTATCTCAGAGGTATTATGTCATTGGAGGTCACCCTCTTGAAGTTGTTATATGTTTTTCTGTGTTTTTGTATACGAAACCCAGGATTGATGAACCTATAGGGACAGCAAGTAGAATAAGGATTCTGGGGTGATGGGGAACAGTGGTGGTGGGAGGGTAAAAGGAACACAATGCCAAGAAGTCCAGGAAGGAAAAGAATGTTTGGAAACTGATTGTGGCAGCAATTGCACACTTCTGCTTGACATGATTGAATTATGGAATGGTATGATATATGGATTAACTCCCAGCTAGACCAGAGGATGGACACTGGTACAGATAGGAACTGGAAACACAGGGAATCCAGGGCGGATGATCCCTTCAGGGCCAATGGTGTGAGTGGCAATTCTGGGAGGGTAGAGGGAGAGTGGGTAGGAAAGAGGGAACCGATTACAAGGATCAATATGTGACCTCCTCCCTGGGGGATGGACAACAGAAAAGTGGGTGAAGGAAGATGTTGGACAAGACAAGATATGACAAAATAATAATTTATAAATTATCAAGGGCTCATGAGGGAGGTGGGAGGGAGGAGGGAGGGGAAAAATGAGGATCCGATGCCAGGGGCTTAAGTGGAGAGCAAATGTTTTGAGAATGAAGAGGGCAATGAATGTACAAATGTGCTTTACACAATGGATGGATGTATGGATTGTGATAAGAGTCGTATGTGCCCCTAATAAAACTATTTTAAAAAAATAAAATAAAATTTTAAAAATGAAAATGAGTTGGAGAAACGTGGCCTCAGAGAGGTTGAGAACATTGCTCAAGGTGATGGTTGCAACACACTCCGGCGTGTTCCCTCATTCCACCGGGACTACTGTTCCCAAAGAGCAGGATGAACTGTTTCTATTGGTGATTCGTGTATTACCTTCACTGGGGATTCGAAGTATACCTGTAGGGTTACTACATGGATGTTTTAAGATATATACGTGACAAAGCAGAGCATTTACTCAAAGAAATGTCTTAAACAGATGCTCTGAAGGCCGGATACACATCAGGGATATGGAAGGTTCATGCTGAAGTCTGAAAAACATTGCATTCTGACATGAGTGTTGCAGAGAAGTGGTGTATGCCAATGGGAAATCCCAGATGGTGGGCAGACAGCACGAAAACCCATAAAAGAGTTGAGGACAAAGTCCTTACAGTGGTGCACGTACTATTTATGGACCGTGTGTGTGTGTGTGTGTGTGTGTGTGTGTGTGTGCACGCACACACATGTATGTGTGCAGAAAGGGTGAAGGAAGGGCACTGAGAAAGACAAACTTCCCGCTCATCCCATTGCAACTAACGTTGGCCTCCTAAGCCACAGGCTGGTTGGAAATTTTCACCTCATTTGAAAATTCCCAACAACGACTTTCCAGAAGGAAATCCTATCTGCCAGCACAGAGTCTCTTTGAATGCCAGGTGCTGACATCCCGCCTGCCCACCAGGAACCCTAAGTTCAGCCCCAAGCCAAGAGCACACTTCTCTTTCCACCCAGCACCATCCAGAAAGGGTAGCGGCCAGGAGGAGAAACACCCGCTGCCAGATGGAAGCAGAGGTTGAGTTACAGTAAAAACAAAGCGGCAAAACCACACGTGGGGCTGAGAGAACAGAGATGGGCCTTACAGGTTTTCACCACGCCTGTCAGAGCATCACTGAAGCCTGAGGCCTGGGAGGCAAATACTTTCACGTTGTAGTCCATCCCACTGAGGAGATTTGTGATAAGAATGGTGTTGATGTCGGCTCCCACGAACGTTTCCAGGGTTGGCCCAGGAACTAAAGAAGGGAGAGAGTGCATTTTAGTTACAGTAGAATATGCAAAATTGGACGCACTCTTGACGAAGAGTAGACTTACTCAACTGTGTTTTAGTTGCCCGGGGCTACACAGCAGGAAAACAACAGGGCTCAGGTTTGAACTCTAGGTAGGTGAAGAACCTACTTACCTGACTGCCTTGCTAGAGGGTTTTTAAGTAACCGAGTTCTTTGCTCAGATATTTCTTTCCGTGTGCTTACTCAGAGAAGTCGTCTACCTCGAAGCCCCTGTCATGTGGAGGCTTCCCAGGAGAACCGCTAAGCTGCCGTAGGTCACTGGGGCACTTGGCAAATTGAATCCATCATTTTCCATTGCCATTTTTTTGGACACCCTGCTTGTCCTCAGCAGACACACAAAATGGTGGGACCAGTAGGCTTTTCATGGACAACATCTTGCCCTACGGGACTGCGGGAGGGCTACAGATCTGTCACCAGGGCAGTGTCATCCATACTTTCGAAAACGAGACAAATGACACTCTTACTCCAAGTCCCCTGACCAGCTGGCTTTGTCAGGCCTTTTCCCTGCACCTCTGTTTCAGTCCAGGCGGGTCCTGGATGAAACACTGGAAATACTCCTGGCCAAGGAAAATCCGCCTCTTTCTTTCAATCTTCCAAAGTTCTGAGTGAGCAGCAAGTTTCTAAAATACTTCTATGTTCCTCCAGAAGCCCCCTTCCAATCATTGATTTTGTAAATTTGTGTAATTGTGTATATCCCTATATTATCTGCACAAAGATTTTTCCCATGCCCCGAATGCTGAGAATGACTAATCATGCAAATGGTGGCATACAATTTTCTTTCTTAGCCTTGGCACTGTGGACATCTGGGGCTAGGTCCTCACTTCTTGGGAAAACAAGATGAACTGTGGACTGCTGGATGCTTAGAACCACCCACTTTATATCCGACTCATTCCCACCCCCAAGTTATGACCATCAACAGTACCTCCAAACATTGCCCAAGTCCACTGAGCAGCCTATCACAGATGAAGAACCACTGGCCTAAGAGATAGCTTTGGCCTCTGGATAAGTTGAGCCAAAGAACAAATTCAGCATGGCCAGCTAGCACACTCACAGAGACCTGGGGCGCAAAACAAAGAGACTAAAAATCAGCCGTGAATCCCAAGCCCTACATCTAGAGCAGGCTAATGAATCCCAAGTTGAGTATTGCTCTTTCCTTTGCCTGGTTAGTTGGGATGTTGGTTTGAACAAATGGTAGGTGTGGGTCTTTGAGTCCTATCTTCATGAAGACGAAGACTTCATGGACCTTGGAACCTAAAGGTTGGAAACCATTCCAGGCGCAAGAGCAGCATCTCTAAGATATGAAAATAATAATATTTTGTCATTTATCAAGGGGTCACAAGGGTGGGAGAGGGGAAGGGAAAAAGAGGAGCTGATACCAAGGGCTCAAATAGAAACTAAATGTTTAGAAAATAATGATGGCAACATATGTACAAATATGCTCGATACAATTGATGGATGGATAAGAGGTGCAAGAGCCCCCAATAAAATGATCTTTAAAAGGAAAAGAGCAGCATCTCAAACGATAGACGGAGATGAATGGAGATTTGTGTGGACAACATGTGTTTTTAGTGTGGCCCCCAAACAACATTTTTGGGTAAACTGAGGGAAATAATTTGACAACCCCTTCCAGAAGTTGTGCTTAAGGCCCAGATCTAGAAAACTGAGAAGAACCTCATGATGTCTACTTGACATGCCAACAGCCATGTACAAAATTATACATGTTTCGGAAACACTCAAACATTCAGACCTATTTAAATGTCCACAAAAGTGCTAAGTTTCTGGAGATGACATCGTTACAACAGTTGCTCCAAACACAGGACCTCCTCACCACTGGGAAATGGGCCAGGGGTGCAACTCCCCCCATTTGGGCCACGTGCCTGTCCTTGAAGGGAAAGAGAGGGGAGAGGACCCTCCCGATCAAGCTGACTGAGAAACTGGTGGGGAAAAGTTTCGATTACCTCAACCCTAGAGCATTGACCAGTTTTATCTTCCTGACATGATTTCCAAAATGTGGAGACAGAGTTTAGTCAATGGGATTTTTCCAACAACCCAAGAAAAAGCAGCAGAAGACTGAGAAATTAGAGGCTCTGGATGTTTAGATCTTATGTACACATTGAGCCATACAGCATCTGATTCCAATAGAGCCAGGAGTCCCTCCGATCGGTTCCTTACACATGTGTGGCTGTGTTGCTGAGGTGTAAACCAAGTTCATTATTTGCTTGTTCACTTGCCCCAGCACGGTGTATACATCGGGGTTGTCATTCTGACGATCTTACTAGAAATCCCCCCCCCGCC